CAGAGTGTTGGCCTAAAGCAAGCAACATTGGTTATTCCGGCATTCACCAAAGGAAAATCCCAACTAGACCCAGCTGATGTGGAGAAAACTAGGGGCATAGCAGGCATTCGCATCCATGTTGAAAGGGTGATTGGACTGCTAAGGCGGAAGTACACTATTTTAGAAGGAACACTGCCCACTGACTTTCTTGCATGTAATCCTCATGGGCCACCACAAGCCCAGGTTCCAATGATCGATCGTATCCTAAGAGTGTGTTCAGTTCTTGTAATTGTATGCCCCCCTATTGTACCATTTGACTAGTTTTATTTGGATATCCTGGTAAGTGATTGTGTTCTTAGTCTCATGTTTGGAGATATTAATGCCCTGACCACAGCGTGAATTTGGTTTTCATATCTTGATCACTTAAACCTTTTAACACTTTGAGTGGTTTTGGTTCTACAATGTAGACTGCGAGTATCCAGAAGTCCATACATCAAGAGGGACCAGCCAAAAATTGTTTCCTTAGCAATGCATCTTTCTTAAGTGTCCCTGTTTTGGCACATTAAAATCGACAGATTAAAGGGACAGAGTCAGCTATGTGACCATGCTGACCTGGACACTACTTTTGCCAGTTTGAAAAACATTTACCTCAACCCGAAATTAAATCTACGTGTCGGATACATCTAGAAATCCGCTTCAATCCTGCCTAGTGTTTAATTGATCCTTGATCCTTTACTGAAAATCCCTTTTTGATCAAACTTTTACTCATCCTTTTACATTATTTTATCATATTTGGTTAAAAACATTATTCAAAGGAACATGAACAGAAGAGGTGAGAAACATGTAGGCGCCTTCATTTACCAAAATAACAAGAGAAATGAACCAGTAACATCGGAAAGCAAATAATCACTATATATATTTGGAAAATTGATGGAAAAGGTTTCATATTATTTGGAAAATCAAGCTTTCTTGACCGCGAACCTTTGACAATGATTCAGACTTTGTACAATTTCTCACCTCTACTGATCTTCGAATTTGAAAGTATTTGTCGATGTTTGGCTTTCCCTGGAAAAATCTATCGGTGACTTCTCATTGGTATATAAAAAATATGAGTGCCCTAATATGGCTTAGGGCCTATAATCATGATTTCAGCTTGTAACTTAAGTTGAACTCTACAAGGTTTGTTTAGAGTCTTCTAGATACACTTTTGTTTCATGCACGTGTTGTGACATGCAAATCAGCTAAGATATGGTATCTATCTAATGCGCATGTGCATCAGCTGACTGTGTCCCTTTAAAATTACTAAATTTAGTAACTTCTCAAAGTCTAGCTTAAGGACAGCCATGATGCACTAGTGGCATGTGGTAGGTTAAAGAACCTCTACCCTTTTATTCCCAAGTGATTTACTTGTCCTTACAAGAATTATTAGTGATACAGTGTACCCCAAGAGAATTTAAACATGAGGGTTCATTAAATTATCACAAAGTGAAATTTATTACTTTGATAAGGGATCAAATTCTTACTCATTTGTACTTTAAGATAATAATGGTGTTCAGTCAGGAGAATTTGTATTTGGTGGATATAATGGGAATGAAACATTGAATTTACATTATTTTATCATATTTGGGTAAAAACATTATTCAAAGGAACATGAACACAAGAGGTGAGAAACATGTAGGCGCCTTCATTTACAAAAATAACAAGAGAAATGAATGACAGTAACATCGGCAAGCAAATAATCACTATATATATTTGGAAAATTGATGGAAAAGGTTTCATATATTTGGAAAATCAAGCTTTCTTGACCGCGAACCTTTGACAATGATTCAGACTTTGTACAATTTCTCACCTCATACAATAGAATGGTATGCATCATGGTCAGGTTCAGAGTGTAAATCATTTTAGTAAAATCCAACTAGTGGTCTATTATCGATCAATGCTGCGTTCTGATTGGTTGAGCTACTACTAGGCTACGTGTTATAGCCCACTAGCAGCGAAAAGCGCCGGCTTTGAAAACCAAAACAATGGCGGCTGAATCGCGTTTTGCTTGCTAAAGTTGTTTTGTCTTGATATTTTTGCCCAACTAGTTGGATTTTACTAAAACAATTATTCCTCTTGCCCTCATGGCCTCTGAGTCATGAATAGCCCATTTGGCCTTCGGCCTCATGGGCTATTGACTAAGAGCCTATTTGGGCTCGAGGAATAATTGTTAAATATCCCAGCCTGTAACTGGCTGATGAACAGTGTCCAGCAAGACCAGCCCTTGCTTCAAGACAGCCATAACCATATTTTTCTCGGCAGGACTTTTCCGCGGGTGACGGGTGGCGGGTACCGGGTGACTGGTAGCGGGTTGCGGGTGTGGGTGACGGATGACAAATTGTCAGGCCGTCAAAAATAAAAATAATAAAAATAAAAAGTGGAAACCAAAAAAAGAAAAAAGATAATAAACATTCCAAAAAGCGATATTTTAGCAATATTCCTCTACACGATATCGCATGCACAAGATAGGTTGAGGAACTCATAAAAATTAAAATAATATTTATCCTGAGACCAGACAAGTAAGATCGCATTCTCTTCTCGACATGTTTGAACAGTGTCTCAGATTTTTGACAAGTGCGTTTGTTCTTTTGTTATAAGTTGGGATAAACATTGCATTGCCCGTGGAATAAATCTTTACCAATCTGGTTCCCGACTTGTAGTTTAAAATGAACAAAATGTCTATTTCGAGAAAACAAGGAAATTTTCCTGAGACTAAAACAACAAAGCTCTCAATGTTAATTCGTACCAGAGAATGAGCAACAACGTTTTTGACACAGCATGGACCGTTTTCGCCGCATGTGGCGTCTCGGACGCGAATTGATCTCATTGTATATATATACAAAAAGGATCTGCATTTTTTAAATACTATTTAAAAATACTGATTAGGATGGCAATCATGCCGCATACTAGGGCAAAAACTGAGCTACGACACGGAAGGCCGAATCTCTTGCAGTCTGTTATAAACACGGCTAAACAGTTGGGGAAGTGCAATCATCTTTCCTCTTGATGTGGAAGAAAAAGCAAACTAGACAAACAAGATCTTTTCCGCCTTTTTTAGAAATTTAAACAATTAACAAAGAAACGACGCTGTATATCACGATTTCTTCAATCAGTAGTGAATTGCGTGGTTATTATTAGACATAAGGTGTGCCGTGATATACAAGTATGTGTGGCAAACTTGTCAACAATCATTAAAGATGATAAGCATCGAACAATCTTTTGTGTAGGGAAATAACACATTTTCTGAATTGTGTAGTTTCAGAAAATATCCATACCCCCACTTCGCACCCCGCCTCCCCCAACGGAGGGCATAAAATTCCAAGGGGAGGGGGGTCCAAAAGGAGGTAATTTTTTTCAGGTGGTCTGAGTAAGATTAGTGAGTTACTTAAACTGAAATAACAGCTTCTCTGTTGAACAAGCTTTCAGATATTTTACTGTTAATTACAGGTCTTCAAAATTATTGTTATTGTTTGCAGTGATCATCTTTGACCTACGGTCGGTTAAATGAAACATCACTTGCGGTGCGGAGCTAGGAGAGGTGACTGTTTTCACAGGCATGATTTCTCGGTTTTGTTTTTTTCCATATTTCAGAAAATAAAAATAGTCCGCGTAAGTAGATAAGACATGGTAGCTAGTACATAAACGTTGAAATTATTTTAAAATTACATACATATTTATTTTACATTTTACATACAACTACATATTTTATTTCATATATATTTTTAACCCGCCACCCGTCCACCCGTCACCCGTCACCCGCTACCCGCCACCCGCGGAAAAGTCCTGCCGTATTTTTCTATGTTAAAGTCTTCTTTGTGTTTTTGCGCGTTTGCCTTGTCTTTGTTTTGTTTTCCATTTTGGGTCATTTATAAATGTAATGTACAAAATTAATGTAGTAGGAATCTGCATTTTCCAAATTTAGACTAAACAGGTTTTTCATACATAAGTGGTAATTTAAGTCAAACTACAGGTTATTAATAATTCGGTTTGCCTTCTCTGAGGAAAAACAAACTACAATAACAGCTAATTATAAAATTCCATGTTATTCATCCTCAAGTACAACCAATAGGAAATAGGTAAAGGATGTTAAATTTGCATTATGTATCAATTAATTCCACCTGCGCCAAGCACCCCCCCCCCCACACCCCCCTCCCCAGTCCTCCTCACCAACGTTGACGCTCGTCTAC